AACCAAAAAAAAAAAAAAAGAAAAGCAAAAAAAAAAAAAGTAAGATTAAAAAGTCTCGAAGAAGAGCGACGATTGATTTTTCTTGTTTTTTCTTTTTTTTTTTAATTTTTTTTTTTATTTTTTTTGTAGATCATTTCCCCTAAGGATAATTCAACGGGGCGGCTCACTTTGTATAAACGTTTATTAGATTTAAAGCTCGGAGAAAATCTAATCGGAGTTTCAGGAAAATAATTATGATTCAAAAGTTTAATTAGTTAAATTACACTCGAACTGAAGTTGACGAGAAAGTGTTAGAGGGGTACGGAAAAATTCTTTTTTCTCCGCGCAATGAAAGAGAAAAGAAAAAAAGGATAAATAAAATGAAAGATAAAACAAAAAAAAATAAATAAATAAATAAATGAATAAATAAAAGAAAGAAGAATCCAAAAAAAGGAAAGGAAAATTTTTATACGATCGATGGATCCATTGCACGTGCAAAAGGTATTCTTGTATTTTTGTCGACAACGATAATCGCGGGAATATGAACGAACCGTGCCGCGGATCCAGGATGTCAATGTCCGGTGTCCGTGAACGGAAGTTACGAACGGCAAACGGATACGTGTGCTAGGTCGATCAGGGTTGCCGAGAAAGAACGGGGAAGGGGAGAGATAGAGACAGAGGGAGAGAGAGAGAGAGAGAGAGATAGACCAACGTGAAAAATTCACCGCAACGATCCAATTACCACCCTTCGTAATACGATCGAATAAAAAAATGAAAAAAAAAATTAAAAATTAAAAAATAAATAAATAAATAAATAAATAAAAAAATAAAAAGAAAGGGTAGAAAAAAAGAACAAAAAAAAAAAGACAGGAACAGACAAAGAAGACAAAGAAATGAAGATGTCAAATGTATTTTCTACGACTACATTTTTATTCGTACAACTATAATATAATATGTAATATATATATATATATACGTTTTATGATTCATTCATAAAAAAGATTGGTTGTTCCGCAATATTCATTCATAATATTCTCTTTTAATTACTCCCATAATTACTCTCTTTCCCTTTCTTTTCATTATCGTGTGTAGTTTTGAATTTAACAAAAAAAAAAAAAAAAAAAGAAAAAAAAAGCAAAACAAAGAAAAAAACAAAAGATAAGCGAATGAAAAAAGAAAGTAAGAAGGGCGGGGGGGAAAAGGGAAGGAAAACGCATTCTTTCTTTATCCATTATAGTGTCACATTCCATACGATAATTTTCCAATTTTTTTCGCCTGGTATTGGTTCCATAAAAGCCATTAAAAGGAAACAAAATAATAATAATAATAATAATAATAATAAACAATACATAATAAATGAATACAAAAATCCGAGAAAAAAAAAGACCAGAAATTTTCTAAAGAAAGAATTAAAAAATCAATGAATAAATCATGGAGGGCGGGGGGGGGGGGGAGGAAGATGTGAGGGGCCTAGATCTGTTTCTTAAAGAAACTCTGTAAAAATGTAATAATTAATTACATTCGTCCGTCGATCTCAACGATGATTCTTTGCACGAAAACCACGACGCACAATACCAAAATTAATATGTCTGTCTGTCTGTCTGTCTGTCTGTGTATGTGTATGTGTGTGTGTATAAAAGAGCGGGCGCGCGCTCGCGAAAGAGAGAGAGAGAGAGAGAGAGAGAGATAGCGAGACGAATTAACCGGGTGCTTCTGTTCGCATTGCAGGTACAAAGCGAATCGTTGCGTGAGCGGGGGCGGTAGCCGCGGAAACGGCGCGACTGGTGGTACCGGAGGCGGAGGAGGAGGTGGAGGAGGAGGTGGAGGAGGCGGAGGAGGAGGTGGGGGAGGCGGAGGAGGAGGAGCGGGAATCGACGGTGGCACGGTGCCTACTGCACCACCGACCACCGGCCATCACCACCACTACCATCACCACCATCACCATCACCATCATCTCACCAGCACGACAACAACTACCACCACGACGACCACCACCACCACCACCGGCGGCACCAGGCACCACAGGCACAGGCTGCCGGCGGGCAAGCAGTGCACTGAGCACCGACACCACCCGCATCATCACCGGCATCACCCACACCATCGCTCCCATCATCGGGGCATGAACATGGGCCAAAAGATTTCAGGTTAGCTTCGGTCTTTTAACCTCATCAGAAAAAAAGAGATAGATAGGTAGATAGATAGAGAGATAGAGGGAGAGAGAGGGAAAGACTCTTGAACGATGTTAAGATAACTCTACTCTACTCTAGTCTACTCTACTCTAGTCTAATTTACTCTACTCTACTCTACTCTACTTTATTCTACTTTATTCTACTTTGCTCTACTTTACTCTACTTTACTCTAAACAACATGGCCGTCCTACTTATTCTACGGTCCCGTATAAATTCAATTATCATTTGTTATTGTTTTGATTGAATATATATATATATATATATATATATATATTTTTGTATAAGTTGAATATCTGGAAAAATAGATTGTCAGCTGGCATTTTATTGTTTTTCTTTCAGTTTTTTCGTTCTCTTTTTAAATCAATTCATTCTTTTATAATTATCGTTCCGATTTAATTGGACTTTCTTTTTTTTTTTTTTTTTTTTTTCTTTTTTTCGGAACATTGCCACGATTCTCATCGTGTTATAACGATCTCAACTCGCGAGGTCAAGGTCTCCTATTTCAGAGTTTAACTACCTGTTCAGGTAGAGATCCTTGAACAGGTTTCTCTCGTCGTTCCATGCCCAGACCCTTTTCCAGAGGAAAGGGTGGTGGTACTTTTAGAGAGTTAAGAGAATCGAATCATCTCTCTCTCTCTCTCTCTCTCTCTCTCTCTCTCTCTTTCTCTCTCTCTTTTTCTTTTTGATCTTATAAGGATAAAACTTTTTTGTAAAAAATAATTATCTTCATTAAACGAATAAATCAACTTCGACGTTGAAAGTTAAATAGCGTTTAATTCTTCATGCAAATCGATGAAATCGATTTTATTAATTTAAAATCGCATCAAAAAGGAGGACAACCTTGATTTTTAAAATGTGTGTATGTATGCTTCTGTATGTTTATTTGCTTCTCTCTATCTCTCTTTCTTTCTCTTCCTCTTTTTATATCCGTTCTATCCGGTTTCGTAAGAACGAGCCTACCGTGTGTGTCATCATCGTTTGATTAGCGAACGTGTATGTCCGAACTACGTCACTCAATGCTATAACGATAATAATAATAATAATAAATAAATAAATAAATAAATAAATAAATAAATGTCACGTTAAGAAAAGTAATAAAAATAATTAAAAAAAAAATAAATAAAAGAAAGAGAGAGAGAGAGAGAGAGAGAGAGAGAGAGAGAAAAGGAAAGAAAGAAAGAAAAGAATTAAATCGAAAAGGGCAAATGCCTGGACGGTTATCTCGAGGGATTGCTTTCCAGATAATTCGGATATATAAAAGAAGGGAAAGTCCTAGATATATCTAACGATGATCGATAACGATGGAAGGACAACTAGAAAGGAAGTTAAACATACTTGGCACGATATCTTCGAATTTACGATATTTCATCGCATTAATCCGTGGTCTCGAGTTCGCCCGTAAAAAATTTACGATCGAGACTATCGTATTGTACGTGGTCCGTGCCTGTGTGTGAAGTTTTGAAAAGGTACCGACGCCCTAAAAAAAAAAAAAAGAAGAAAGAACGAAAAGAAAGAAAGAAAGAAAGAAAGAAAGAAAGAAGGAGACTCAGAGACGTGTTGAACGAGAGAGCCCCCAGGGTCTCTCTCTCTCTCTCTCTCTCTCTCTCTCTTTCGATAGTGGTGTATGGCCGTGAAAGGGCCAAGGGCCTCTTTCTATTAGTGCCCTTCGTTCTCTACCATCAGGGAGATCCTTTCAAATCCTCACGGTCCTTTCCAGGACCCTCATCGAGCCCTTGAACGCGGGAACAGCTGCCCGAGCAAATAAACTACAGAGACCGAGGATATGGATCGGTACTGGAGAACGGCGACGGGACCCTTACCAAAGAAACCTTCCAAAACTTTTTAGGCAAGCCCCTACCCGTCGCTGGACCCCCATTATTTTTCTTCCATCTCCCTACCTCCTCCCTTCCACCCTCCCTCTTTTCTTTCTCTCTCTCTCTCTCTCTCTACCATTTTTGTTCTTCCTTCCTCTCCTGGCAAATATCTTTTTTTCCTTCTCTCTCTCTCTCTCTCTCTCTCTCTCTCTCTCTCTCTCTCTCTCTCTCTCTCTCTCTCTCTCTCTTCCCTCCCTCCCTCCCTATCCTTATAGTTAGTATCATGATCAGGGATGCGTTGCCGGCGGCAGGTATATCCACTCGACACCGTCTGAATTCTTAATAAGAACTATGGTTTCTTTCTATTCTTTTTCCTTTTTCTTTTTCTGTATGTTTTTTTTTTTTTTTTTGGATTAAGAAAATTGTCGAGAAAATAAAATAAAAAAAAAAAAGAAAAAAAAAAAATACCATTCCTCTCTAAGTATTTCACATTTACGAATGAATTCTCGATATGATGAACAGTTATAAAATTATAATAATATTCGAAATCTAATATTTCTCTGTTATGAGATATATTCGGATAGATCTTTAACGTTGGAGGAATATAGAATCTTATATCTTTTTTTCCTCCTCTCTCTCTCTCTCTTTCTCTCTCTTTCTCTCGCACTCTCTCTATGGATTATAGTTATAGGTCGAGTCCTCCACCCACACAAATCTCACGAAGAAATCCATACGCGTTTGTTGAGTAGGCGGCGTTTTGTGTTGTTCAGAGTAGAATTTTGAATTCTCTCTCTCTCTCTCTCTCTCTCTCTCTCTCTCTCTCTTCTCTCTCTCTCGCTCATTCTTTCTTTTCGTTGACTTTTTTTCTCTTACTTTTTTTTTTTTATTTTGAAAAAAAAAAGAGATAGAAAAAGAAATAAAGCTAAAGAATATATATATATTTTTTTTTTATCATTATTATATTCTCTCTTTCTCTCTCTCTCTCTGTTTCCCTTGGCATTCAGGCGGCGTGAAGAGC